CTATGAAAAGTCGAGAAGGAAAGCCTTACGAACCTATCGCAGTCAAAACACGGTTAGGATGGATAGTTTACGGGAGTTGTTCACGAACACAGCAACAGCCAAGCTACGTGAAGGTCCACACGATTAAAGGGTGTGAATGCAACCTCGAGTCGGACGAAAACCTGCACGCTGCTATGAATAACTACTTCACGCTGGGTAGTCTTGACGTTGTCAAACCAGAGAAAATTCTGCGATCAACGGAGGATCAACGTGCCAACGTGGAGATGCTTGAGAAGCTGACAATCCCAAAAGAAGGGCGGTACGAATGAGGTCTCCTCTGGAAGTACGACAATGTTCGCTTTGCATGCAGCAAAGCAATGGCTTTTAGAAGGTGGCAGTGTTGAGACCGACGTATGCAGCGGGATAAGGAGTTCTCAGAAACTGTGATGGTGAAGATGAGCGAATATGTGGCGAAAGGATACGTTCGAAAGCTAACGGAGGACGACCTCAACGCACATCGGTCTCAGGAATGGTACCTGACCGTATTTCCTGTTGGGAACATGGCACCGCAACTGGAATTATTCTTACAACACCACCCGTGATGTAAATCTATTGGTCGTCTTTATTTTAGAAAACATGATTTTCGGCAAGCCTTGCCTCTAATTGGGTGAATTATTGTAATCGGTCAACTGTGTGCACTGTGGTCCAAAAAGGAAAATTCGGAATTTTTCTCCTAGAGCCTGACCTATTAATTTAAGCCATAAAGTGTCTGCAGAAAATTGCTTTATATCAGCTATGATAGCAAAAGAAACCACCTTTTTCCTTTGAAGATATAGAGGAAGCATGTCTTGAGCAAAGTTTTAGAAAATGTCAAAACAAGCAACTTTGCTAAAAAAAAAATTAAAATTCAACTCTGAATATCGCAAACTTCGCGTATGAACTAATATAAAAACACTTTGAATGTAACAACTCAAGGCGAGAGTAGCCGTCAACAATGCTGATGATGGCACAGCACGCAACAACCACCCTACTGTTTCTATCTGAGATGATACGTTGGTCATGACGAAAGGAGCAACACAATAGTTGGGTAAAGACGAATTGCATTATAACACACCATCGAATGGAAATGCTGTCGGCAACGTGGGGCTTTAGGTAGTGATGAAACGACGCTGGAACTATTCCACAGCCGCAGGCAGTATATGAGTAAAGTCAAGCGCACACTTTTTTGCCTGTAGATTTGAAGACATACTTCGTACGGGTTAGGCAAGGAACTGTGCGTTTGACTTTGTACTGTCGCATTAATGGCCCTTCGCTCATTTTCAACTTCGATTCAATTTTTATACTGCCGTTCTCTAACTAAACTATCTACCTATCCTCTTGATGGACCATTCTCTAGCTTATAAATTGTCTCACTAAAGCTTCATGTAAGATAGCATTTCCAACCAGCTCTTAAAATTCTATGTCCCTTAGCTCCCTTAAACCTTGTTTTTTAGTCGTAACTTTTTAGCGACTCATTTTTCAGCTCACAATGCACTAGACAATTATCAAAATCTGTGTCACCACTTGCTTCATTGCCGATATAATCGTAACCTGTTGGTGTGAGTTCGAATCTTTAGAATTTAAGAGACTTTAATTTATGGCAGTTTTAATGGGTGTTCAGGACCACATTGATCATATCCATACACGATGTGGATACCCCTGAGAAAATGTTCATATTTTTTCGGTTAGACTCAAATGTTTAAAAGCTCTACGGAGCGGATTAAAACAGATGATTTTAAGGAAAACATAACTTTTGACGTAGGACTACGTCTATGATTTCTATATGGGGGTACACTTTGTGAAAACCGAATATGGAACATGTAACAAAATTATGAAAGATTTTGAACGTTAATAAGTCAGCTGCCCCCAGGCCAATTCAAATAATTTTATCACCAATGGATCAGAAATATTTCAACGCATCTGGAAAATGGAAGACTTTATCATTTTTTTTAAATGTCACTATTGAAAATTGCACGAATGTGCAATTGTTGCTAAGATAATTAAAATTACCACCGACTGCCTCCGAAAAGCGATTTCCCTAACACAGATTTCAAAGTTGAATTCCATCCGGTCTCACCGCGTGGTGAGTGGTGGTGTTCTCGAGTACACAACGAAAAGCTCCCCGTAAGCAGCTCGCTATCAAGGCTGCCCTCAACCGCTGATCGAATTCAGTCCAATCACCGTGTGTGACGGTGTCTGGTCTTCGGCATCAGCAGCAGCAGCAGCAGTTCTTTCGGTGCGTGGCGTTGCACATTGTTCTCTAGTACACAACGAAAGGCTGTCTGCAAGCAGTGAGCTGCAGCCCACATGTGCATCCATAGAAGGAGGAAGAAACCGCACCGTTATTGATCGGAATCAGTAGCTCTTCGTGAGTCGCTGTGGACCATCTATGCCTAGCGCGTCACCCTCATTCCAAACAACATACAGCTAACCAGCCTCATATGTGTTTAACACCTTAATAGCTCAGCATAACTCAACCATCACCAGAAAACGATCCTTTTTAGGACCACAATAAATTTGTAAAATATTATTTTTTGGACATTTGTCAATGTCACCAATCGGATGTCAGTTTCCATATCATGCTAGAGCTGGAATTAGGGCATTAAAGCTTTTGTAAACAATGACTTCTTTCGATGATGTCTTGAAAGTCAAGGCTCGCCCACACAAATAAACATCACCATCAGGTAGGGTAAAACTTCCCCTACCCGACAGTAATGTTGGTTTGCGTGAGCGTGCCTTGAATTCCTAAAAATCATCGAGAGAAGTCATTGTCTACAAAAGCTGTTACGCCTTATTCCAGCTTTATTTAGATATGTTTAAATCTAACATAGCATGTTCTTGAAGGCAACATTGGGGGTGCCATTTAAAAAACCAAAGTATGTCACGGATTGAAAGTGGTCTTATTTTGATCCAGAGATGATGGATTTTACTTCTGAATACACCCAATCGATAGGATTTTTTTCTGCGATTCTGCTAACATAATTATCATTTTTCAAAATGTTTTAATTATCATTTCTCAAAATGTCACTATTGAAAATTGCACGAATGTGCAACTGTTGCAATGATAATTAAAATTATCATCGATTGTCAGCGAAAAGCGATTTCCCTAACACAGATTTCAAAATTGAATTCCGTCCGGTCTCACCAAACGGTGTTTATTCAATCACCACGTGGTGAGTGGTGGTGGTGTTCTCTAGTACTCAACGAAAGGCTGCCTGCAAGCAGCAATCTGCAGCCCGCATGAGCATCCATAGAAGGAGGAAGACACCGCAGCGCTATTGATCAGAATCAGTAGCTCTTCGTGAGTTGCTGTGGGTCATTTCTGTCAAGCGCGTCATACTAAAGAGTATAAACAGAGAGAACCCCGCTCAAATTCCTATTCCTACACAAAACACAAGCTCCTGCTGCAGTTAACAAATAAGATTTATTATATAAGACCACGTAGTCCTACGTCACCATTGCGTACAACTCCATAGGGCTTTTCCTATGTCCAATGATTGGGCACTCGCAAGAGTCTCGGCCGTCTGAAAGGGGTTGAACTGGTGTCTGCGACAGGTTGGAAGGCCGCAGAATATCAGTGTCGACCCAGCTAAACCTCCTCCGCTTTTCAGTTTTTCTCGTCAAACTTCTTCTCTCAACAAGTTGGTAAATCTTAGCCTTTAGCAGAAAGACGCTTAACACTTTTTTCGGCGAATTTATGATCCTGTTCTGTTCATGGTTCTTCTCTATGCCTGTTCAGATGAATTAGTTTTTCTACTACGCTAAATATAACGAGTAGAAATTCAGCTGCGCGTTCGAATTATTGAAAATTCAATAAATATTTATTCGAATAGCTGGACAAATCTTTATGATTAATCGTCAATCGAATAATTTGACTCTTAGGCATCTCTAGAAAAAAGTTAAATTTGATATTTTTGGTGGTCCTTTGAAAATGTGGAACAGCAGAATTGCATCCAGCAAGTGTAACCCAAGAACCAAAAGCGGTGGGAAGCTAGTTTTCATTTCTATTACGACGACTGAATTAAGGGGCTTAGAAGCAGAGGAGTGAAAGTCAATTCTCTTCATCGATTTCCTCTCTTGATGAGCATGGCTTCACTAACCTATTTCGCACTACTTCTGATATGCTCTTCTATCAACCAGGACAACAAACGTATCAATGAATGTGTTTTCTGTCGAGTTATTAACGAAACAGAAAGTCGATGAAGAGAATCGATCAAAATCACTTGAACCCCTGCTGCCAAATTTGGTTGCAAGATTACAACATTGTGGGTTGGAGGCGAATGCCACTTCGACTTGTTTCGTCTACTAACGACTCTCTGGTGACAGTGTTGGGGAAGCAGCATATGCATTGGTGGATTTGTTAGTTATTTCGACATTTTTAGACAATTTTTAACATTTCCCACTTTTTCAATAGTTTCTTGTTGAAAATCAATACATAGAAATATTTCTGATCGATTGGTGACAAAGTTATTGAAATTGGTCCAGCGGCAGCTGAGTTATTAACGTTCAAAATCGTTCATATTTTCGTTACATGTTCCATTTTTAGTTTTCCCAAGGTTTACTCCCATATAGAAATCATAGACGTCGTCCTACATAAAAAAAAACTGAGCAGCGGATCATTCACTCTGCACACTAATACGGGGCCCTTATTACCGATGTCACTTCACGGTGAAGTGACAACTTATCACTCACGGTGAAGTGATTCCCATTTGCTTTACACGGCAATTACTTCACCGTGAGTGACAACTGCTCACTTCACTTCGTTTTCACCGTGAAGTGACACCCGTAATAAGGACCCGGATCCTTTGAACAGATTCGGGACTTATTTGCCTTATCTACTTAAAAATGCCCTTCAAAACGCTAAAAATCTTTAAAAACGTCACATCAAATAGACAGACGAGCTTGCAACTAAAGGTGGATATCAATAATTGTATGTTTAAAAATGTGCTGTATAAAAATTTCAAATTCCTTTGAAAACTTACCAGAACTGGACTGATGACCAGTTCTGCCCGGCTCTTGTCCCGCTGGGGCTTAAAGTTGGCACGATTTTCCAGGATGGTGCCGTCTCTCCAGTGCGACGGAGCCTCGTTGCTTTTCACCCGTGTGTCGTAGCTGCGAAGGGAAAGAAAAAGGAAAAGAACGCTCACATAATCAATTTTCATCAGGGCGACAATTTTCCGTACACTTGAACCTGACAGTCAACACAATTCAGCAAAATGGATTGGACTCTTTCGTTCGTTGCTGTCATTTTTCAAACGTCTGTATGCCGACCCCCTCCCCGCAGCCCTCCTTTTCCGCTTCCGCTTGCCCGAAGCATGGCGTGAGATTGGCGACACACCACCAGCTTAAAAGTCCCTCCGCAAACATACATCAAAAGGTCGTATAATTTTATTTTCGCCCGACTCATACGTATATGTTTGCACGAAAATCGATCCTCTCGTATATTTCACATTTTATTCACCAAACTTTCGTCGTGTCTTTGATATTTTATTTTATTTGCTGACATGTTTGCTTCCTGGGGAAAACCCCTCTCCTGCCTTCAATCGAAGCCCAAGAAGCGGCGGCTGTCATGCTATTTTTTTTGCTTTGCTTCGAACCAGGTCGTTTGAAAAGACTGTTGCTAAAATTTGCTACCGAAGAGAAACCGAAATGCGAGGGAGGGGGGGGGGGGGGCGAATGCTATTCTTGTTGATTCAATACTAAAAGAAAATATCAGAATCACATGTGTTTATAGAATGCAGAATGGAAAGGATCAGTGGAATCCTACATCGACAGAGAGGGGCGAGAGAGAAACAGAAAAGCTGTTGAAAGGTTGAATCACTGCACTACTAAAGGGCACTATAGAAACCTGGAGAATGGCATCATCGGCACTACGGCTGGCTGGCTGACTGACTGCTGAGGGAAACGGCTTTGGCGAAGTGAAAAAGCGAAAACTTGTTTAATGGTTATTTGAAATGGAATATGCCGAATCGGATGAATGCCGGTTATTGATTCGTTCACATCGATTTGGGTTTGTTGTCGGTTTTTGGGATTTCTTCTAATGGGCATTCTTCCACCACAGATGATAGCTTGTCGTCAAGAAGGGTAGGTACGAACATTTAGTGCAGAGACTACGGTGCGTTTTTTTCCGATATATGTTTTAAAGTTTACGGATACATTGGTATAACGGGGTTTTTTTTGGCAAAGAAATTTTGAATCAGTGATTGATTTGAGTAAAACTGTTTGAGGTTTGCTGGTTGCGTGTAAATTTTAAAATTCATATTGAAATTTTGTCGTATCATAATATTATGACTTGTTCTGGGAATCTAAATTTGTGAAATTAAAGCAAAGCTCCATTGAAATAATCGGTAAGCGACAGGTGAAAGAACCTAATGATTGAAGGAGAATTCATCTACTTACTTCACTGTGTATTTATTGGAATAGTTCGTTTTTGTTTGCTTATCTGGTTAAAAGCTATACTTAATTATCTTAAAGATAAATCGTCCAGCTTACACCTTTGTAGGGGTAAGCGGTGGGACCATCATCATAATTATCTTCACCATTATCTCTTGCATTCCAAAGCTTTTCGAGGCAATTGTAAATGAAAAACTATTTCTTCAAACCAAAAATAGAATTGCTGACATGCAACACGGCTTCTTTAAAGGACGTTCGACGTCCACCAATTTACTTGAATTTATAGACTATACATTAAATGCAATGGATAATGAAAACCACGTAGAAGCCCTCTATACGGAGTTTAGCAAGGCATTTGACCGAATTGACATACCAATTCTACTCTTTAAAAAAAAAAATGGATTCGAGCCAGGACTCCTGAATTGGTTTGAATCATATTTAACTAACCGCCAACAAATAATTAAATTCAATCGAATGAAATCGACCACAGTTCAAGTCACCTCAGGAGTTCCCCAAGGCTCTCATTTGGGACATCTTCTTTTTATTCTGTATGTAAACGACATTACCTTCATTCTCAAAAAATGAAATTGCTAATCTATGCCGCCGACATGAAGTCTTTTTTTTTGGAAATAAGAAATGATGAAGACATCAATATATTCCAGAGTGAAATACACATATTCTACACATGGTGTATAAAAAGCCTATTAGAACTGAACGTAAAAAAATGCAACTTAATATCATTTAGCAGAAGAAGAACACAATCAAACATTTCAATTGCATTAGGAAATCAGAATTTAGAAAAATGTGAAAGAGTTAGCGATTTAGGGATTAACTTAGACTCCAAACTTACTTTCATAGACCATAACTCACCGGGGAAATAACATGCTAGGCTTTATAAAACGCTTTTGCTGTAACTTTCAGGACCCATACACAATTAAAACACTATATATTGCCTATGTGAGGTCAATATTGGAACATTGCAGCATTGCACACTGGGCCAGGAACCGAAATTAGCAAGAAAAAACCTCTAGCGCATTGGGTTTGCATTATATTGAAAGGGTGTCTTTGGCAAAGTTTCTCGGTTTAACATGCGCCTTCATCTGGTAATGGAAATCAGTTCCAATTTTATCCGCATAGATGGTGCTGCGATACTAACTTTCTTATTTCACATGCTAGAGGTTTTGTGTCTTCAACAAAGTTGTAGAACATTAAAAAATATAAAACAATGCCCAAGAACTCAAAGTTCTAGGTCTTCAAACAACAAAGATATAGTGAATATTGTAAAATTTAACTGAAATTTACGTTTTTTGTACTATTTTCCATACAAACGACAAATCCTTCATTTTTTACGCCGTGTATCTTTTAAGTCGGTGCAAGTTTGAAGGAAGAGTTCCCAATGTTTTGGGTCGATACAAGCGAAATATTAGCCAAAATAGTGAAAATTACCATGATTTTCATAATCCGGTTTCTCGAAAAGTAGCAAGTTTTAGCAAAAAGTCATTTACTTTCTGAAATGTACCATTTATCATCAATGAAATGTGAAAGTTTGCCGGAAATATAATTTTATATATTTGAGATATCTGAATTCATAGACTACAATGTTTATTCAAGCAGCGTTCGCCAACGCACGGCTTGCTGGCTGCATGCGATAGAAGCGATCGAATATGTCTCTTATGCTTCGCTAGCTGCACGTTGACGAACGCTGTACTAATGTATGCACAAAGTTTCTTCATGTTCATGTTCATTCTAGAACATGTGTGCGTGTGACAAAAATCGATGATGATAGTTGATAGAGCAGTACACGGTCCCTAACCTCGCTTTTAAGTTCCAAAAAATTTGTCTCTAATTAAAAGGGATGGCAACGAATGGAAGCCAAAACTGTCAACATTTACGGATGAGAGAAAAGTGCAGGAAATATTCGTGCACTGATCTAATGTTGAAATGAGAATACACATGTACTACTTACTGATTGACTAACTGAAAATGTAAGTACGAAAACGGAAGCTCTGTTATTTCGAAGTAATGTTGACTCTTCCGGTGGATTATAATTTTTGTTATTTTGAAGTATATAACTGATAATTATGGCAGAAGGTAGGTTATTTTTAATTGTTCAGAAGGTATTTATTTCATTATTGAAAATAAAAGTATGCAGTGTGAGTGTTCGGGAAATCGTGACATTATTTTTCAAAAAATATCGCTCGTTGATCTGGCATCGCATGTGAAAAAGAAAATTATTTGTCCCGAAAGTGAAACCTTTGAATAGTCCCTTCACAAATCGCTTAGATTTCTACAAGCAGACTTTGATTCGCGTTATGTCAAGCCCTGCCGCAACAAGCGTTTGTTTTTTCCAAAAATATACAAAATGACTGGATTCCCACTTCGAAGTTCAGGACGATAGCCCAAAGAAAAATGTAGGTGGAAGACCAAAAAAATCATTTTGTGAAGATAGCCAAAAAACAATCAAGTGCCAAATCAGAGATCGAATGATTTACTGCTGACGATGCTTTGCGATTTTTTGTGCGAAAATAATCTAACAATAAAAGAAGAGTTCAAGAAAATAGGACTGAGAATAAGTGAACCGTTACCATCTGGAGGTAATTTCATTTTATTGTCTTGTTGCCTTACATTACGAATACATTTTCATTTCATCAGGTAATAGTTATGATGGCAACACTGCCAGATGATTATTTCAGAATCCAGAAACAACGGCAAGAATTACAGGAATTGAGAAGGATATCCTTCGTTGATTTGTTACAATTCTGTGTGCGCTATCTAGCAAGCTTAAAATCGAAGTAAAGGCATTCGAAACCTACGCAGAAGAGACTAGAAGGTTGTTTGTCCATTATTATAGTTTTTACACTTTGTCACCTACGGTACACAGGGTCTTGGTGCATGGCCCGACAATCATAAGCCATTGTGATATTCCGGTTGGTTTATTATCAGAAGAGCCGCAAGAGTGACGAAACAAATCCATCAGAACATATCGGGAGTACCATCCTCGACAATTCAGTCGTCTTGCAAAAATCGAAGACGTATTCCATTGACTTTTGCTGACCTCTGACCCGGTTATGACAGTGCAGAAACAGTTTCCTCAAACCAAGAAAAAGCAATTTCCAGGACCCGTGCAAATGCTGTTGCAATAATCGAAAATGCAAGATAACAGGTGGTTGTTAGAATTAAAAAAAAAATTACTTTTAATCTAGATATCTCATCACACAAGCACACATGTTCGAGAATATACATGAAGAAGCTTTGTGCATACATTAGTACAGCGTTCGCCAACGTGCAGCTAGCGAAGCATAAGAGACATATTCCAGCATTTCCATCGCATGCAGCCAGCAAGCCGTGCGTGTCCGGCAAACTTTCACATTTGATTGATGATAAATGGTACATTTCAGAAAGTAAATGACTTTTTGCTAAAACTTGCTACTTTTCGAGAAACCGGATTATGAAAATCATGGTAATTTTCACTATTTTGGCTAATATTTCGCTTGTATCGACCCAAAACATTGGGAACTCTTCCTTAAACTTGCAAATTATCCGACTTAAAAGATGCACGGCGTAAAAAATTAAGGATTTGTCGTTTGTATGGAAAATAGTATAAAAAACGTAAATTTCAGTTAAATTTTACAATATTCACTATATCTTTGTTGTTTGAAGACCTAAAACTTTGAAATCTTGGGCATTGTTTTATATTTTTTAATGTTCTACAACTTTGT